AAGATCACCTTGTTTACTTAATTTCTTGAGTTACTTGCGAATATTGACTTGAAATCCATGTCCTTGATGTTATGTTGTTCCAGTGCAGTTTTCAGAATGAGTCTTTGTCTGTTATATTCCGGGCAGCTAAAAAATACATGAGGTATTTGTCTCTGATTGTTGGCAACCATCACAATTGCCAGTTGGATGTTTTCCAATCAGATGCAGTGATGAGTTTAATAAAGAGTGACCCAATTTGATCCTGCTGTTAATGCTCTGTTCTCTTCTACTACTCCCCCAAGTGCTTTCTGTTCCTACTTCCCTTTGTATCTGGTATAAATGTCTTCCTTTAGTGTTACTGTCCCATAACTTTTGCCATTGTTGCTTGATAACAACTTTCGTAACTGATTTGACTTCTGCTCTACTGATGGGTACTATTAAATCAATCTGGTTTGCTTTCAATCAATTTGTTTGCCAGTTGATCCAATACCTAATTACCTCTGTTACAAAAAGGGTCGATGAAATAACTAGGAAATAAATTAGATTAACAGCCAAAATGCTGAAAAAACAAAGTAACAAGGGTGTACAGTCCAAAATAGAAAGAAAAACAAACCTTAATATATATACAGGTCGAAGAAATATAAACTGGTACCTCTCTGCTCTACAGCCACAGTCAGACTAACCCAACATCACTTTTTATACACTTAATTACTGTTATTCTTATCATCTACAAACATAGGTGGCGCGTGAGGCTCAGGTTTGGGAAGGCTAAATAACTTTGTTTACCTGACGCTGCCCGCCTCCAGCGTCTATAGAAAAGAGATCAACTCAGTGTGCGGAGTTTAAATCTCTCAAGTCATATTACAGGATAAAGGAAATACAGTTTAAACTGCCGTATGCAGAGAAGACGCCGACGTGTCGCACTTATCATTACATCATCAATCAGATCATCGATCATATAATATCATAATATATCATATATTTCCTTATCTGAGTCAGCTTCTCCAGCCGTATCTGGCCGTGCAACACTTACAGTGGCACATGTATGCAGAAGTATTATTTTAAGCAACACATTATGTTGACGAAACACTCGAGTCAAATGTAATTAAAGTCAGATCCACTCGTGTCTTAGATGGGGCAGTAATATCATAAAACTATACGCTTTCAAACACTCGGTAGGCCTAGTTATTTTTTAACCAGTTGTTCTGTATTCTCCTTGCAGGTGCAACTATGTGGCTTGTATCCTGGATTATATGTTTAAGTCATGGATGTTTAAAGCTCATATTTGTCTAATATTAGTTTACTTTTCATTAATGAAGTATGACGCTGCGCTGTCAGTACACTTGTCCCCGTTTGTGATTGGTCAAATGTAGCTAACCCCGCCCCTTTCACGTGAACGCGCTCTCAGCTGGAGAGAGAAACCCTGGCTTGATTTACGGAGTTGATAACCAGCGTCGTAGGACCGCTTAGCGAGATCTCGTTTGTTTGTTGTTGTTAGTTTGTTTGTTACTCAAACATATCCAGAGTCTGTTGAACTGGCTTCGTAGTACAGGGCACAGGTGGCAAAGACACAGACATTATACATTATATTTGTATTTTACCAGGATGCAGTGACACAAATATTTGGGAAGGCTTAGCCTTCCCTAGCCTACAGCACCCGCCGCCCCTGTCTACAAACATATTCAAAATGTAGTTCAAACTAATTAAACACAATAAATCAAATAGGTCAACATATTCTACATTTCTGACCACAGAAGCCTTAACCAATAACACTTTAACACTTGGAAGAAAATGGTCACCCGTGCCCATGCACTACATGGTATGCTCCAATTGAGCACAGGTACTTCCACTGATTGAGCCTCTACTTAACGCTGCAGTTTTCTGTTGCTCTGTTTGGACCTCACAACCTTGAACGAGAGGGTAAGCAGGTTACTTTGGCACAGCATTGTTGTGTATGACTTCAAATAAAGCTGTCTTGAACAAATAATGACTTGGGTTTTATTTTACCAATGTCCAGCAAAGTTATTAATGTGTTTCCCTCAGTGTGCCTTTTACCATGCCCCATATGCCAACTGCGATGAAGGAGTCTTCTTCACAACCCACATCCGCTGGAATCCACACAAATTGAACAATAATTCCCAAATGGACTAACCTATACATGATGTGCAAAATGTCATGTAGAATAAGCAGAGATAGCCTGATGGTGACTCGCCATTCAAATCATTTAAAAGTACGGATATTGAAGAAGCTTTAAATTAGGGTTAGGGTAATAATCATCATGCAGAATGGCGTATAGAATCACATAACCCATATCATATTACAGGATAATGATTGTTAATGCCTCTCTCTTTATCACTTTAAGGCTGCAGCTTTTAAAGGTCAAACTAAATGTAACTTTACACACTTAAAGGTGGGGTAGCCTATGCAATTTTGGAGAAACCAGGGGCCTATACTACGAAACTGGCTCAAACTAACCTGGATATGTTTGAGTGAGCCGGTTGGCCTAATCCAAAACATACGCGCTCTCGCTAAACTGTACTACGACGCTGGTTATCAAGTGGATCGCTCAAGCCAGCCGTTTCCTATCTAGTTAGGTGCGCGTTCACATGAAAGGGGTGGTATCTGGAGCATTCGACCAATCACAAACATGGAGAAGCGTACTGACAGCGCAGCGTCATACTTCCTGAATGAAAAGTGAACTTTAATACTAGTCAAAAATGAAGAAGTTAAACTTTAAACATCCATGACTTAAACACTTTATCCAGGATCAAAGCCACAGAGCTGCACCTGCAAGGTGAATACAGCTGGCAAAAGAAAAAGTGTTTGAATGCGTACATTAACAGGTTTATGATATCACTGCCCCGTCTAAAACACGATCTGACTTTAATTAGCCTACATTTGTCTCGAGTGTTTCGTCAACTAATGTGTTGCTTAAAATAATACTTCTGCATACAGTATGTGACACTGAGTGTTGCACGGCCAGATACGGCTCAGCTGACTCAGATAAGGAGATATATGATGCATTATGATGTGATATGCCGCGGACTGTACTTAATGTTACTCTGATCCGGTTACTTATGTTGTGGCATATATTTAAGTAAGCTTTCTTAACGCTAATGTTATAATAGTCAGATTGCTCTGAAGATGGAGGTGATATTCTATTAATGTTCACGTTCACACAGTCGGTGATTTTTGCCGGCCGTCTTTCCTGCGACGGCAGCTTTTCTGTATTTCCTTTCTCCTGTAATATGACTTGATCGCTTTAAACTCCGCACACTGAGCTCTGATTGGTCAGCAGGCAGTGCTTTCACTGAGATGAGCTCTTAGCCTGCAACCTAACCTGGTCCCGACCAGGTTAGCCGCTAAGCATAAGTTACCATGGAGATCTAGCCTGCTAAAAAGAGAACCAGCTTCGTAGGACCGGAAAGCCGGAGTTTTCCCTGAATTTAGCCGGCTAAGCGAAAATCCTGCTTCGTAGTATACCCCCCAGCTCGAGTGCGCTAGAATTTGAAAATACACAACCGGAAAAAACTTGCCCCTTCCTTCAGACTTCCTCACAGAGCCCCTCATCCAACACACACGAACGCGAACATGACCAATGAGGGCACGAGATAAGTTTGTGCACAGATGGAAGGCTGACAGGCAGGTAGGCCATCCAGTTATTTTAGCCGGGCTAAATATATTTCATACTAAATATATTCATATAAATCAGGGTTGCCAACTCTCACGCATCTGGCATGTGACACACGCTTTCACTCTCAATCTCACGCTCTCACGCTGCCCAAACTATTCTCACGCCAAAAACAAGATGAACCGGCGATCGTTTTTGGTTGGTTATTTACGATGTTGAGTTGACAGCTGCTGAAGCTGTCGATCCGCTCCCTCCCCGCCCCCACCACTCGTAACAACCATAGGGTAACAACGTTAACAGACAGCAGAGCAGTGGGAGCCGGTTGGTCAATCCCCGACCCGTATTGCGCATGCGCAGATAGTCTGCTGCTTATTGTTCTACTAGGCCAAAATTGAGTCAAAGAGTATATGAGAGTGAGAGTGCATTAATTAATATATTTGGCAGTTTGGAGTAAGTCTGTAGATTTGTTTGTGTGTGTGTGTTTCATGTGCCTCTCATGATAATTAATTTTGTTGGATACATTTTCCCGGAAATTATTGCGATAAACGATAATATTGTCGGCACCGTTGTATGACCATTTTAGACCACTGACATAATGATAATATATAATAATAATAATTCAACTACATCCTTTCAAACTGCTAGTCACATCCTCATGTAAATGGCAATTTATCGAGTTCATTTTTATTTATCGTACGATAAGTCAATGAATTGCTTATCGTGACAGGCACACAATAAAACAGTGGAAACAAACATGTGACTTTCATTAGTGAATGAAACTGTGTGCCCTTTATAGTCTGTCCAATATTGTGTATTTGTATATATATCCTATATATATGCTAAGGTCCCGCTGCTGACACGATAGCAGTCATTTCGTGCGCATATGTGTAATTAAACCCATGATATCAAAATCTCACTCCAGCCAGGTACCCAAAGTTGGCAACCCTGTATAAATATACATAGAATATTTCATTCTGAAGTGGAGTAGAAGTATTAGAATGAAAACCTTTGTTTTATTAATGTATATTAGATGATCTCACGTCAGACAGCATTTTCTAGCCAAGCTGTTAGACCCCCTCTGGCAGTAAAAGATCAGTTGTGTTTTGGATTTAAAGATTTGTTTGGACCAGATACAGCTGCCACGCACACGCTGTGTTTCCACAACAACAACTAAACACAACCTGAGACGGGGGCTGAACCTGTTCTGTCCTTCAAACTGCTCCAACAGTCATTCTCTGAAACCATCTGTTACTAAAGTACCGTGTGTTTATGCCAGCATGCAGTGGGCAGTGGGAAAATAACAATTTGATCTGTTAAATATAATAGAAGTGGCGTTACTAAGTTAAAGTGCGCTTCTTTGAGTAAACTACTCAACTTTGGAACAAAAAAACATATTTGTACTTTTATTTATTTACAAAAAATCTACATCTTTTACACACAACATTTCACTCTTCCATGTTCAGCTATCTTCTCATCTTTAAAACACAACAAACAAACTTTACATCTTCACATGAATCATGTCTTGAACAGTTGGATTTCTTACCGCTTGTTAGCTATTCCCAAAGTCATATAAAGAACGCTGGTGTTTATGTGAGCCTCATTCTATTTTTCCACCTTCTCCAGTAGGACTCAGATGAGGGTGTTGCGCTTTTCTTTTCCTTATACATGTGATGTTTTGGTGTTTTGTTTCTTTCCGTTAACCGTCAAGTGGGAAATAAGTATTTTTTTTGTGTGTTTCTCTTAGTATCCTAAGATACTGTTATGTTTGGCTGTGAAAAAAAATGTATTATTATGAAGGGCCATCTATTTGTATTTATTTGTTTTTTTAGAAAGGGGCAGGTCACATAAGATTGTATTCTTCTCCCTGCTCCTTTTCGCTCAATGGTAGAGTCATGTTTTGTGGTAATTATTGTACATTTGGTTTTGCGTACCATGAGCGGGACAAATAAAAATGAAATGAAATGAAAATCTGATGTGTCGACGTCAATAACGATCTTTATTTATTCTGTGGATAGTGTCTGTATTAAACTGTATATTTGTATACCTGACTTATAGTGTTTCCAATTTCTAAACTGCTGTTCAATAATGTCCTCCTTTATCATGTTCATAGTGTAAATACATTCAGTCTGTTTATACCTGTCACATGTATGTATATATATTTCTATTATACTACAACTATTTTTATTTTCCTGTTGTATACCTCTGGTTAGTACTTGTACTCTGTGCAATCACAATAAAGTTGGATGTAATCTAATGTGTGCAAGTTGCCAGGGAGAACATCTCCGGTAAAAAACCTCGGCCTTGAGATGGTGAAACTCTTTTTCAGTTTTTAGGAAAAGTTTCTGCAGTAGAGTAATATTCTCTAAGTAGAGCCAAGGATTGTTTTGATTGTTGGAAAGTCTCTGAAGCTCGTGTTAACCGCAGGGTACATTTCCTGTATCTAAAAAACTAATTCAGAAAAACCATCAACTTTGAGAAAAGGTAACCAAGAGGTAGAAAAAGGCTGACTCATTCCAAGATGTGAGGACTCATTCCTGCAGCAATCTGTTATTCTCAATGTAATGCCAAGATGGTTTGGGTTGGTGGAAGGTAATGAGTATTCTACTGTTTATGTAAATGTCTAAAACGTTGAAAAAATAAAAACTAAGTTCAACTGATCAAGCCCAAACTAACTTTCACCATTACATGAAACGGTGTAAAAAAACAACACGTCCTCTATTCTTTCTTGTAGTCCTCCTCCAGTTTGAGCTTCTCCGTGTTGTTACTCAGGACAACCGCATCGTTGGTGACTTGCACCTTGTCGAAGAAGTTGAAATCTGCCACATATCGGCCCCCCGTGGTGCTGAACAACACCGGCTTGAACTCGTACCCCCAGAAGATCTCCTGCGGGACGTAAGAGGTGCGGCTCTGGCACGTGGCGGCGGTGGACTCCATGGTGGCGTTCAGGGTCACCAGCAGCTCGAAGTCTCGGGTCTGCAGGTTCTCTGCGTTGAGGCCTGTGAGAGGACTGTGCTCGTCCAGGACGTGGTAGAAGGTGAGCGGGAGGATCAGGAATGGGCACTCTCCACTGGAGTCCATGAAGAAGTCCACAGAGCTCTGGTGGATCTGCGTCTTCTCACCTTCCTCCGTGACGTTGGACTGGAGGAATTTCCCCGTCAGCTGGCACTGGATCAGAAGACTCTTCCTCATGTTGGCCACCCTCACCATCAGACACAATTTCCCGGCGCGCCGGCAGATCACCGCAGACTTACTGAACTTGATGGTCTCCGCTCTTTTCTTTGGGCGGGCCAGTTTGGCGAGAAAGGCCCCGGTGACGAAGATCTCAGCCAGGCCGGTGATGACGAGCTGAGCCACGAGCGTGAAGATGGCCAGCGGACACTCTTCTGAGATGTACCGTAAACCGTACCCGATGGTGGTCTGTGACTCCAGGGAGAACAGGAAGGCTCCGGTGAGGGTCTTCACGTTCACCACGCAGGCCGTGCGGTTGACGCTCAAGTCGGGATCAAAGTCCCCGTTGCCCATGCCGATGAAGTAGAAAATGACCCCGAAGATGAACCAGGTCATGACGAAGGTGGAGGCGAACAGAGTGAGTTTGTAGCGCCACTTCATGTCCACCACCGTGGTCCAGATATCGTGCAGGTACAGCTTCACCATGCCCTCCACGTTGTCGACGCGCACGTTGTTGTGGCCGTCTTTGGACACGATCCTTCGCTGGACCTCCGCCGTCCTGGTCGCCATGGTGATGTCAGTCAAACTGATGGTGACTAATGATGAGGTCTCAGTATGGCATCACCTATGGATGAGCTGACACGAAACGAAGAAGAAACAAAACATTAATATCAAGTAAATTACATATATATGTACATTCTACAGAAAAGGTGGAAGTACTGTCACTTACTTTTGCAGAGACCAAAATACATGACGTTGACCTAATACTCACATTCATTATATATGTTGAATAAATAGAGATTGTCTTTGCAATGGTACTAAATTTAAACATTTTTAAAATGGTTTTATACATAAATTGCAATTTATTTAAAATGCCAAGTTCAAGGAACTGCCTTGTCACTTTGATCATACATGGAAGTGGAGCCTATAGTTTTCATTTAAAATGTTTTTTTTTTCAATAAATAAATCTCATTCATATTTACATAACATTACAAGCATTAAATATAACACTGAAATGGTAACAAAAAAAGCAAATTATTATTAATAATATCCAATAAATGTCAGTCACCCAAAATGACGTCATTGGTGTTACTGCTACACAAAACGCTTTTATTTTTTGAAATAATGTACTGTCTCTGAAGTGCCTCCTGTAACAAGAGATAATTTGAGGCAGTGGACAAAGACATAAGGAAAGTCAGATACTTCTACTTTGCTTGTTAATGGTGTCATTTTATCTTCAAATTGTACGTGCGTCTTTCAAGTTTGTCATTAGTGTTACTCATTGCATAGCCCTAGGGGTGAACATTTGAATGGGAAAATGTATTGTATGGAAGAGTTAAAATATTTTGATATTGACTGAAGCCATTTGGTCTGACACATGGCAGCAATTTTGTTAAAATTGTAGTGTTTTCTCCAAATTGTCACTGGTGTTACTCTTCTTCCTGGTAACACAACACCAGTGACGTTCCTATGTAAATAAGCTTTGTATAAAAATTATAAAAATACTTTAAGCTCTACTTGTTGTGGATTCATCAAGTTAAGAGTTAGTTATTGCTGTTTAACAGGTTCTAGATGTTTTTAGAAGGAATATATTTCAGCAGATTTGTATCACCCAGATTCCACCTTTTCTGTAGAATGACTATCATATCTTTATACTGTCTATATACTATACTATCACTATACTGTCAATACTGTTTATACTGTAGCCTACATACTTCATCTGTTTATAGCCTATTTATAATTATTTCATATTCATTTATTTATATCATGTAGACACTTGCACTGCTATTTTGCACTTCTGGTCAGATGCCAAACTCTGTTTCGTTACTAGTACTAGTAGTTGAATCTGAATCTGAATCTAAATGTACTTTCAGTTTTAGATCCAAACATCCAACTACATTTATTAGAAAATTGTAGGTACTTTGAAGATAATACATTACAGTGTAAAATAACTCATTAAGTAATTCAAATCTGCTCCATGTATTTTTCCAGCCACAACATTTATGTGATGAACAATTCATTGCATTAATCCAGGAATAAAATATGTGTTTTCTTTAAAAGGACTTTAATCTGAGGTAACCATACCTCAGATTTTTGATTTGGGTTTGAGTTGGAGTACAAACATGCCACCATTGATATAGGAGCTAAAGTAAAATATTTTGCATATAGAACAAATTCTAACAAAACTAAAAATACAATTAAAATTAAAGTACTGGAACTTCGAAAATGAATTCAAGTCCAGTACTGTATGTAAAATATAAAATAATCAATATAAATGAACAAATAAATAAAACGCTGAAACTGTCAATGCATGTGTACCTGCTGTTTGAAATTGTCACTAAATGAGTCTTTGTTAAAGTCTCTAAAATGGCACAATTTTCCTTTAAAGTTGATCAAGATTTGTCAACTGAAGGTCAGAAAAGTACAGCAGATGATTCAAGACACCAAATAAAACGATAAAATGTAAGTCTAAACCTACAGTGTAACGTCTCAGGGTTAAAACAATGTCAAAAACCTAAGAAGTAAGCCATTACAGGAACCGGAGAACATTTACTTTAATCATTGATTTCTTGATAAATCTGTGTTACTCACATCCCGCTGCCTCGCTGAATACTCTCAGGTGCTTTTCTTCACTTTTCTCAGGTGTGCCGCAGACAATATGAAGCGTCTGCAGAACATCTAGTTCAGTGTCTTCTTTCTTTCTATTGTCCGAGTTGTGTGAGCGCTGAACTTTGGCACAGACGCATTCAGGGTCGGCAGACAAAGGCCGAGCTGTAAACTCTGATCTGAGCGAGGGTTGGCTGTTTTACCTCCGCCTCCTTCTCACCTGTCCGCCAGGTAACCGGCAACTTAAAGTTTGTTTTGATCCTTTTACGGTTGTTGTTGCTTTACACAAACACACCCACATGTACTGCTTACAGAACGTTCTCTAAAGGTCATTAAGAAGGGACACTTTGATGTTAATACAAATAATAACAACGGTCTGTGGAAAACTAGAGAAACTTCACTGAGAAAATGTGTGTACCGGCAGCTGAATACCACAAACACTTCTGAAGTATTTGGAGCTTTTTCAATGTATTTCTGTGTCTGAAATAGATGTATGCCTCATATTTTAAATAAAGCACAAGTCGAATTAAGTTGTGAATTCAGGTAAAGTTCAAAAACTAAAAGGGGTTGAAGTTTAACAAGAGCAAATTCAAGTGAAGTCCTAAATAACAATATGCCTCAGTTAAAATAAATCTATCAGTTTACACATCAAGTTACAATTATGAGAACAATTATAAAATCTGAAGATGTATTATTAAAGAATTAGCTGATGCTCAAACACTGATAGGAGTTACAGTTGAGGCTCTTACAGAAGGTGATTTGGGGGAAATGAAGTTAATGTGTGGACTAATGTAAGTTTTAGTTTAAATACGTTTGATCTGTGTGAAATGGAAGAGGCAGCTGAACTGAAAAGACTAAAAGATGTCATTATGAAGTAATTATATCACATTTAACAGATTCAAAACACACACAGAGAATACAAAACAATTACAATGAGCTAAATTGTGAGAAAGAAATATTAAATCTTAACGTGTGTAACCAGGGAAAACAGTGGAAGTCTCACACTGAGTGTAGGAGTGGGTTTAGAGCTGAAAGGGACAAACAATGTGGCTTTTACTCGGTGTAAAATAAGTTTAAACTAAGGAGTATGAAGAGAAGTGCCAACACTAAAAGACGCTTGAGTGTTTGATGAAAGTTTAAAAATGACACTTTAACTATAAAATGTAGTGAATGTCCCTTTAAATCTTGAACACTTGTTGTTAAACTTTATGACCTTGAATTGCACATCTTAGCTTTGTTATTAACCACTTTCCTTAAGAGAGAGTGAGTGTGTATGTGTGTGTGTGTGTGTGTGTGTGTGTGTGTGTGTGTGTGTGTGTGTGTGTCTAAGGTATGAGATCACTAATAGATTTCCTTGTTCCTACAAATGGTCCTTTACAGCAGTTTATTTATCTTTCAGGATCCTTTAACTGTAAGAACATTGCAGCAATAAAACACTCACCATGTCCTATCGGTACTTAAAGGTAGGTTCAGTGAAAGAATAAAATACATTTAAATTACTCATTCTATTTTGAGTCATTATATTTGGACACACCACACCAATAACTGTGTGTTTGGTTACATCCTTTATTTAGATCCTAACTGTTGTTGTAATATTTTAGTTTGAAAACACTTAAATGTTATTTGCATTGAACTTATCTGTAAAACTGAAAACAATGAACAATATTTAACATTTTTATAATTAACCCTCCTGTTGTCTTCGGGTCAAATCTGACCGATTCACTACTTTCATCAATCATAACTTTTTTGTTTTACATTTGATTGCATCAAGGCTTCATGATATCCTTCACAGTAGACATTTGAACATATAAAATGGCTGATCACCACTTTCATTGAGTTTTTGGATGATTTAGTCAACTTTGTAACACCCATGGTGTTCCTGGTCAAAAATGATCGCCATAAAGAAAAGGAATTAGTAACCATCCGGATCAGATAAAACACACACACACACCCACACACATACTCTAGATGTGTTCCCCCCCCTTATGTGCCCATCCCCCCATGTGAATCACACCTGGCACACATAAACACACGGAACAATGTAGTGTTGTTCCGTGTGTAACAAAGTAACAAGGGTGTACAGTCCAAAATAGAAAGAAAAACAAACCTTAATATATATACAGGTCGAAGAAATATAAACTGGTACCTCTCTGCTCTACAGCCACAGTCAGACTAACCCAACATCACTTTTTATACACTTAATTACTGTTATTCTTATCATCTACAAACATAGGCGGCGCGTGAGGCTCAGGTTTGGGAAGGCTAAATAACTTTGTTTACCTGACGCTGCCCGCCTCCAGCGTCTATAGAAAAGAGATCAACTCAGTGTGCGGAGTTTAAATCTCTCAAGTCATATTACAGGATAAAGGAAATACAGTTTAAACTGAGTATGCAGAGAAGACGCCGACATGTCGCACTTATCATTACATCATCAATCAAAAAATCACTTGTGGCCAGAGGTTTATATATGTTAAGGAGGTTAGGTCCCCCCCCACTTAAATCATGTCCACATGGATAGGAAACTAAATACATTTGCACACATCTTGTGTCCATATCTTTCTGTTGTGGTGGTCATGCCACACCGTGCACGTGCATGCATAGGCGAGTCATGGTAAGATATTTGGATTGAGAGGTTGCTTTTTCTTTGCACAACATGAAAGAAAGAACAAATGAATGGGCTGTGATTTTAGTTTTTTTAAGCAGAGGTCGATAATTTGTACGGCCCTCGGAGGATGTTGTAAAAATGGAAATGGCCCTTGAGGGGAAAAAGGTTCCCCACCCCTGGTAAAAGGCCATGTATAATGTTGGTATAAACATTAAAAGGGTAATTTATCTCAATAAATAAATGAAGAGTCCAACCCCAACTAGTGGACAAAAAGTAAAATGCAATATTTAATGCTTCAACATGAGAAATGTGTCTTTCAGGCTGACATTACATAATTTAAACAATAACATCTGACAGAATGAAGAACTCTAGTTTTTATTTACAGAAAACATAGATTGCTCCACTCCGGTCCCCAGTCTGTTCTTTGTTCTAGTAGTAGTCAGTGTTTTAGTAGTAGGTACGTGTATTGTGTGACACATGATGCAGAATACAGGTCACACTTTACTGGAAGTCCTCGAAAATTCACAGATATGAAAAGTGCCAAAACAACTACGTTTCATGCCACGTAGTCTGGGAGAGAAAACGACACGAAGCTGGTTTCAATTTGCACAAAACATATCAGCAACTGTTGTGATAGTGGATTCATCTTCTAAAAAAAAGAACGTTTATTTTATACAAAGTTCCTGGTTTCATCTGCTCCGATGTGTATTATAGAGTACACATAAATACAGAATGTTTTTTAAAAGGCACAAAAAGGAACATTTAATGATATGAAATGTCTTCAGGTCTTAAGGATTTGTGGTTGGCATTTCCCAGTTTCCTGATTATTTACAACAAAAAAGCAATTGATTAGTTGATTAAAAATAATATTTAGTTACATCCCTAATTATATCTGCATACAACTCCATTGGTGTGTTGTATAGACTTTTTATTAAATGTATATTTACTGCTAGTAACTGTTAAATAAGGGGATTTAAAGTAAAGCGTACATGAGTCCAGCCGTATTAATGTACCCCATAATTAGCCTGTTCTAATGGCGCCTTCAGTCTGAAATGAAGCTCTGGTTCCCACGCTCTCATTCACTCGCCCTTTCTTTCAATAAGCAAGAGGCAACATACCCCCAGCTAAACCAATCGGTCGCGTCTCATCTCCACAGCCAATCACAGCACACCCGGCAAATGTTTAAATCTGCTCTTTTTCTCCCCTGCCAGCATCGTTCAGGAGAATTGATGCAACCCTCCTCCACCTCCAGTCTCATCAGACCCAAGGCAGGCTAGCCCAGAAGAACCCTCATCACTCCAGATTTTCACCACCACCCCGCGGGGTTTCTCTTTTCCTAGTCGGCTCCTCCTCCCCCTTAATCCATCACAGTACGATGGGGTCTAATCTCCAAAACGTATATATATATATATATATATATATATCATACGGCAATAAAGATGTTATCAACTAACAAACTAAGTCTCTCCTGATTGAACTGAAGTAAGTACTTTCAATTGGGGTCATGAGTGTGAATATGTTTGAATTTAGATCCAAATAAAATGTCCTGATATCATCAAAATAAACGAGATTTAATATGTCGGGGCTGGAAAAATCCACAGTACATTTAGATGAGGATTGAAGGGGTCAGGGCGGGGGCCACGGACTCACAAACATAAACATCTCGGCCTATATCAGGAAGTGTGAATAAATAAGAGGTCCCTCAGGGTCACTGAGGGGCCGGGGTAGCGGCCGTGGCCTTCAGGATGCCTCGCAGCACCTTGTGGTTGTTGAGCGGCTGGTTCTCTTTGGGGGGGTAGCAGGGCCCGCGGTCCGTACAGAAGGAATAAGGGAACCGCAGAACCCAGAACCCATCGGGAGGAAGAACCAAATCTGTCTGCTCCGGGTGGAACAACGGGCAGGGAGGGGGGCCGGGCTGCACCTGGAGACACAGCAGGGAACAAAAACACTTAAAATTCATTCATACATGCAGGCAGATTTTGTAAGTTTGCCCACTTACAAATATATTAACAGTCTATCATTTTAACGGTAGGTTTATATAAACAGTGAGAGTAAGAATATCAAAAAGAAAATCCAGAAATCAATTTGTATCTTTTATATAATATCGATTTCTGGATTTTCTTTTTGAATACATGCGGCTAGTTTTCAGTGACCCACGGAGGGGGGGTGTAGCTACCTGTGGGTTGAGGGTGACCTCCAGCGGGGAGTCCGGCACGACGACAAACAGCCGAGTCAGCTGAGCGTAGTGAGACTTGATGCCGCGGCCCTGCGACGGGGACGGGATGTAGAGCGGCATGTCGGTGTTCAGCACCCTGGTGGCGGGGTCTTTGGCCCCCCCCCGGCCCCAGAACCTTCACTATCTTATCCGGCCCACAGCTGATGAAGCGCCGCCCCCTGCTGTCCTCGTACTCGAACCCCACGAAGATCCGAGCCATGTCGTCCCTCCTGCGGCTCCTCCCCAGGCCCCCGGTGCTTCCCCTTTTCCCCACCAGGGTCTTATTGGGGGCCGGCCACGAGGAGTTGCCCCCATCCAAAGGCTCCGTCAGTCTGTCCGGGTCCTCCTCCGACCGGGAGCGGATCACCAGGTCCCAGGGCAGCAGGAAGGAGGATCCGGGGAGGAAGCCCGGGTGCTCC